TTTTTTAATAATCAGAGTTGAAACATCTGCTTTTGTTTTTGATGAAGACACAGTCCAACATCCACATTCGCTGCAGAGTTTCTGTTCTGATTATCTCTGAGTTTGCAGAAATTCTAATTTTTTTCACTGTGTGGTTTAATTTAAACATCAATTATTCTCATGTTTCTTTCAGGGGTTTAGAGGTTAAAAGTTTGGATCAGAGCTGTGACTCAATACCTCCATGTCGGGTAACTTTCATAGAGGAAACACTCCTCTCTTACTGAGACCTATTAATACCAGGTTAAAACTTTCCGTCTCACCACTAAGTGAATCGTTTCTCTAGTTGCTTTACCTAAGAAGACTGAGATCTTCGCTCCTTCTTTTATAACGTTCAGTCAGACGGGATAATGATAATTTTGGTCTATCTCCAAATGAATTTATGTCTGGGCTTTGACTAGGCCATTCAAACACATAAACCAAACCTCTGAAAGCCTTTAACAGATTGATCTCTAGCTCTGTCCAGCGTTCAACAACTCACCAGCTGCTGTTTTCTCGTCTTTAAAAAGCACAACCACAGCATCATTCTACCACCACCGTGTTTAATCACAGAGATGGTGGGTTTGGGGTAAAAAGTGGGATTTGGACGTTTCACATTGTCTTCAACATGCTGCGTCTCTCCTACGTAATGATTATGACAGATGTGAACTGTCACATTAAAGCTCAATAAAATATTTTGGTGTTGTGTAAACAGTGTTTATAGAGGACTGGCACTGTAGAAAGTAAGTGTTCTTCAGGGTTCAGTATTGGGCCATCTGATTTTCAATTTCTTCATTTAGATCTTTCCTAAAATTTTTTTTTTTTTTACATACATTCTGGTCAAAGGTCTGTATGAGAACCCTTTGCTACAAGCTATCTGAATAATAAATCATGTTTTAACTATTAATTTAATTTAAGCTTTTATGGAATGCAGAGAAAACTATCCCCTATATAAAGAATAATCTGCTTTTATATAATTCATTTTTAATCTTAATGTACAATTGATGCCCCCCTGCAGCCTCTTGGAGCTCTGAAATGTTGGGACAGAATCATTCTTTTCTAAATTTACACTGGAGGTTGAACAGGATATCATGGCAGGACATGAGAAACCTTCCTGACAATAAATCTCCACCAACAGGATGCAACTCCGGAGCTCTAAACGGAAGAAGGAAAAGTAAAAATATATAGAAGCAGCCCAGTTCAAATAACAGATAATTTTGCTGCTGCACTGCAAGAAAAAATGAAATCTCAATAAGTCATTTTTTCTTAAAGGAAGTCAATTTTTTCTTGAACTGAGGAAGTAAGTGAGACGCTTTGCCAATGGAACAAGATAATTTACATGTAAAATAAGAAAAAAACAATTGCATTGTCTTATTTCTAGTGCATATTATCTAATTATCTAAAGAGTAAATACTAATTTCATTGGCAAATCATCTTATTTACCTTCTCAAATAAGGCTAAAATACACTACAATTTAAGAAATATTTACTTATTTTTTCTAGGTTGTTTTTGCAGTGTGTGTTCAATTGTACTTTATTAAACTCTAAGTCATCATCAAACTAAAGAAAATTATGAATTGACTCAAAAATCTTGATCTTGCT